TTAAGTCTGTTTGGTGGGGCCGGGAGGGGGTGCTTGAGATTTCAGCACCAGACATGGATTCTTTTAGAAGATGTCATTGCACGATACAGAACCAGATGTGCGCGCCCTCTTGATAGAAATCATCATACTCATAACAAGAGACTCACGGTTGGGGTGCCTGGGTGGCGTCCGACTCTTGGTTTCGGCTCAGGTCACGATCTCCTGGTTCTTGGGTTCGAGCCCCGCATTGGGCTCTGCACTGACCTTGCAGAGCCTGCTTGGGATTCTCTCTCTCTCCCTCTCTCTCTGCCCCCCCCCATAAATTAATTTAATTAAATTAAAAAAAAAAGAGAGGTTCACAGTTCACAGAACACCTCATATCATCTCATGTAAACTTCACAGCAACTGTGTGAGATAAACCGGTCACTTGCCCTGTTACAGGTGAGGACGCAAAGGGGTATGTTGGTCAGAATATTTTAAACTATCCTTGGTCTAACATGGTGAATATGTTGATATTTTTCTGTGAGAAAGGCAACATCTATTTTTTAAAGAAACTTCCCAATACAAAGAGAAGTGTTTTCCCAGTATGACTTTGGTTGAATGAAGAAATGACAATGAATTCCTAGTTTTTCCCAACATGTCTGCTGTAACATGGGAGTCCTTCTTGAGTTCACTTCATTATAAGTCAGGTTATTGATTTACATTTTTTTATGTTTATTTATTTCTGAGACAGAGAGAGACAGAGCATGAGCAGAGGAGGGGCAGAGAGAGAGGGAGACACAGAATCCAAAGCAGGCTCCAGGCTCTGAGCTGTCAGCACAGAGCCCCAAGCAGGGCTGGAACTCAAGGACTGTGAGATCATGACCTGAGCCAAAGTCGGATGCTTCACCGCCTGAGCCACCTGGGGGCCTCATAAGTCAGTTAATTGAGTTTTCTCTTGGAGAAAGTAGGTCTGGGCTGTGTTATTTTCTCCGTATCAGCTCTGTAAAATCAGTTCAGAATTTAGAATATCTGCTTTGTTAATTTCCAGTTGGTAAGTATAGGAACTTAAGCTTGATAGGGATTCAAAGTCTTTGGGTTACAATGTATCATGCATACTTAGAATGTGTGTGTGTGTGTGTGTGTGTGTGTTTGGTAGGGTTACTGTGATAAGAGTACCACAAACAGTAACTTAGACGACAGGAATTTATTATCTGACAGTCCTGCGGGCTAGATGTACAAAGTCAAGGCATGGGCTGGGTTGTTTCCTTCTGGTCTGTGAGGGAAGGATCTATTCCAGGCCTTTCTCTGTGGCTTGGAGATAGCGGTCTTCAGGTTCACATGGCATTCTCCCTGTGTGCATGTTTTTCTGTTTAAATTTCCCCTTTTTATAAGGACACCGGTCATTTTAACTTGATCACCTCTGTAAATACCCTCTCTCCACATAAATCACATTCTGAGGTATGGGCATTAGGACTCCAACATAGGAATTTGGGGAGGACACAACTCAACCCACAAGTCATTCTCTCTGTCTCTCTGTATACCTGTGGATATATCCTCCTTCTATACCTCCCCCCACACGTATATAATTCGATATTTGATATATTTCTATTAAATCTTTTTTTTAATGTTTTTATTTATTTTTCAGAGAGAGAGACAGAGCATGAGCAGGGGAGGGGCAGAGAGAGAGGGAGACACAGAATCTAAAGCAGGCTCCGGGCTCTGAGCTGTCAGCACAGAGCCTGATGCAGGGCTTGAAACACAAACTGTGAGATCATGACCTGAGCCGAAGTTGGATGCTTAACCAACTGAGCCACCCAAGCACCCCTGTTTCTATTAAATCTTAATGGCGTTTTAGTATGTGGGTCTAAATAACCTTTGAGCCATTATCGCATAACATTTCTAGAACATAGTATTTTTGTCCTATCTTACTTGTGGCCTCATAACATTAACTAGCTTGTCCTACACCAGAAATAACAGAACCACACCTTAGCCTTCCCTCTCCCCATTCGTATTTCCAGATTCCTCCCTTCTCTTCTGGTTTCTTCTTTATGATAGAAAAATATACCATATTTTCAAAATGACTTTTAGGGGCACCTGGGGTGGCTCCGTCGGTTGAGCATCCAACTTTGGCTCAGGTCATGATCTCACGGTTCATGAGTTCGAGCCCCATCCCTTTCTCTCTTCGCCCCTCCCCCACTCATGCTCTCTCTCTCTCTCTCTCTCTCTCTCTCTCTCTGTCTCTCTCTCTCAAAAATAAATACACATTTAAAAAATTAAAAACAAATAAAAATGACTTTTAGAAAAATGAATGGAATCCAAATAAAGCACAGAGTTTACTGAATACTGATGTATTAATATCACTTCATTAATTGTGACAGTGAGCCAACTAGCATTGTGCCATGGAAATGGAAGGATTAACAATAGGGGAAAGTGGGTGGGGATATATGGGAACCGTGTACTATCTTCACAGCTTTCCTCTAAATCTAAAACTATTCTAAAATTAAAAAGTTGTTTTAAATGCTAAAAAAACCTTCTCTAATACAAAATAGTTTTTAGTCCAAAACAGTTTATTAATACTATTCATTTAGAATTATCATATAATTGGGGCACCCAAGTGGCTCAGTCAGTTGAGCGTCTGACTTCGGCTCAGGTCATGATCCCCCTGTTCGTGGGTTCGAGCCCTGCGTCGGGCTCTGTGCTGGCAGCTCGGAGCCTGGAGCCCGCTTCGGATTCTGTGTCTCCCCCTCTCTCCACCCCTCCCTTGCTTGTGCTCTGTCTCTCTCTCTCAAAAATAAATAAAACATTAAAAAGACAAATTATTATTTAATTGCATCGTTTTTATGCCATTGCCTCTGCATCTTTGTGTACAAAAGAATGGATGAGATGTGGCCTCTAGAGGACAGTGTTGGGTCATAGAAAGATTTTCATATTCTGCCCAAGTTGAAGGTGGACTTCTTTATTTTTCTTCTTACTTTTTAACCGTAAGTCCTCTGTTTATTCATTATCTGTCTTAAAAGAAAAAATGTATGCATCTCCTGCCATCCTGGTTCGCTGGAGATTTGCTTTAACTTGCTTTTTTTGTGCAGTTTTGGCTCTCACAGATAGATCGGACCAGAATGATTGCAGTTTTCGCCCCAGCGTTGCGAGCCCCCAGGGGGATCGTGGAAATCGTGTGGGAGCCAGGAGAGCCTTACGGGGCACATGCTATGTGTTGTGAATTCTCACGTGGTGGACAGAGTGCTATAGAGCTGAGCTTTGGAGAACCTCCAGACCATTTGTAGATTGATGAGGATGCTCATAAAATATAGAGGAGTTTTGATCTTTCAAGGTCGAGACTGTTTGCTCCACGGTGATTTATTTGTGGGGGATGCGGAGAGAGGGAGGCAAGCCATTGATCGCCCTGGCTTCTGGAGCAAATTGGTAAAGTGATCAGCATAGAAACCCACCATTTTAATTAAAAAATTATCCCTCCAAAGGTAGTCTCATGAGATCGACATTTGATTTTTAAGAGGCTCCCGGGGTTGGGAGTCACAGTGCTACTCAAGCACATCGGAGCCAGATGAACATTAATTTGCAAAATCTCGCCTTGTACCGAGAGGCAGCTGCTGAGATAATTGTTCGCGTATTGACGGGCTCAGAGAGTCCGGAGTATCATTGTGTCATGAGATGGGTGACATTTTCTGTTGATAGTGGAATCCGAGGGCTCCGCTCATACCAGATGAGCCTCTGAGCTTCTAGTATAAACGTTAGAAAATAGTTGTCATCGGGACCACAGTGTGTTCCACTTAGCAGCAACCTATAGATTTCTTATTTTTTGTTCAAAGAATGAGTCTGTTAAAAGGTCCTGTGTTGAATTGGGATCTACGAGCCTTTTAATAGGACTTTTGAAAAGGAGTGGAAAATTTACAGCTCCTCGTAAATAGCCTGACATGAAAGTTAAGATCAATAGTGTTTTGTTCGGCCACACCGTTGACGTTGAACCTATGGGTGGGAGTCTCTCATTCTCATTTAACATTGCCAGGTACCCAAATTTCTCTTCCTCGGGTGTAGTGTTTTATTTAGCAGTGGTATAACAAAGTTCCATTAACCATGTGGGCATTTAGTAAATATTATGGTGATTTGATATGTACTCTGGTCCTTGAGACATGATTGGTCCCCTAATCGGGGCCCTTCTCCGGTGTTCCTCATCACAGGGGAGAGCATCACTGCATCCCGTCTCTGCAAGTCGGAGTCCTTGACTCCTCTCTTGGTTCTCATCTCTGCCCATAATAGACGCAGCTCTGCCCTATTGCTTTTACTTCTTAAATCTTTCTTGAAACCATCCACTTCTTTGTCATGGCCACCACTCTAGTCCAAGCTCTGTCACAGCTGCTGAGCCCACGGCAGAAGCCGCCTTGCCCCCAACCAGTGTGATCATTTACACACACACACATCTACGAGGCCTTCGGGGATCTCCCGTTGGTCTTAGGATGACAACCAGAGTCACTTTCACGGACGATAAGACCCAGCAAGCTCCGGTTCCTGTCTCTCCCTCCAGCTTCATCTGGAAACGTCCTCCATCTTGCTCCCGAGCACCCCCCCTTCAGCCTCCTGGCTCCCACGGGGTCTTAGCGCATCCTGTTTCCTCTACGTGGAGTCTCGTCTCTGCTGGCTTTGTCTAAGTACCTTCTACTCACCCTTTATAAATCAGCTCCAGTGTGATTTCCTCGTGAGTGCCTTTCCTGATCTGACCTACAACTGCCCTTTGCTCTATGCTCTAATAGACCCATTCTCCTTCACTTCATTATGTTTATAATTAGACACTCAGCTCTGTTGTTTTTTGATTAATATGGGTCTCCACTAATGAATATAAGCTCTACGAGCAGGGACCATACCCAAGTATGCTCATTATCAAATCCCTAGCGCTTGGCACAGTGCTTGGAAAAGGAGTTGCTCAGTGCACTTGCTGAAGTAATACATGGCTATTATTTTTTCTTTTCTTTTTTTTTTTCTTTTTCTTTTTTTTTTTTTTACATGGCTATTCGTTATGGAATGTTTAGGTAGAGGAAGAAGAACCCACTGGATACATTCGATTTGAAAAATTTCTTCCAGTGATGACTGAAGTACTCCTGGAAAGAAGGTAAGAAGGTACATGCAGTTGTGGAGGTAGTGATTAGAATTATCTTAATTTAAAAACACTTGGCTTTTTCACTTTGTATATTCTTTAAAAAAAATTTTTTTTATATTTATTTTTGAGAAACAGAGACAAAGTGTGAGCAGGGGAGGGGCAGAGAGAGAAGGAGACACAGAATCTGAAGCAGGCTCCAGGCTCTGAGCAAGAGGTCAACACAGAGCCCGAGGCGGGGCTCGAACCCACGAACTATGCGATCATGACCTGAGCCGAAGTCGGACGCTCAACCGACTGAGCCACCCAGGCGCCCCTCATTTTGTATATTTTATTCAACCAACCAGTGTTTATCCTGGGATAGCTTCCTTCTGACTTTTCACTATACTTTTTTTTTAAATTATTTTTTTAAGTTTATTTATTTATTTTGAGAGAGAGAGAAAGAAAAAGGAGGGGGGAGGGGAGAGAGAGAGAGAGAGACAGAGAGAGTGAGACAAATAGGGGAGGACGAGAGAGAGAGGGAGGGAGATTGAATCCCAAGCAGGCTCGGCACTGACAGCATGGAGCCCGACGCAGGCCTCGAACTCACAAACCATGAGATCATGACCTGAGCCGAAGCCAAGAGCTGGACACTTGACTGACTGATCCATCCAGGCGCCCCAGTCACTGCATTCTGAAAGGCCATTTGGCATATGCTTAGAAATATCAACCATGTTTATACTAATCTGATAAGCAAAGTGTAATTACAGAGGCAAAAGGCTACCAAAAGCATAAACCAACAACAGATTTATTATCATCTGTTTTGAATCATCACTGAGACTTAACCCTAATTACTCTTCTAAAGACCGTGTAGCATCAGCTTACCCCAGTTGGTTGACTGTAGAAATTTTATTTCCCGAGAAGTGGATTTTCATCATGATGAGAAAGATGAATAGATAACATCATGTGATTTTGAACTAAATATTTTCTTTGGGTGTGAAGCCCTTTCGACTTTCATATCTCGAAATCCAAAACTGTTTCAGTGAGGGAAGTACTATTATCCTTGTATATGAGCAGCTGCTATTTTGTTCTATGTGATCGTTTATTGTGTAGAGACTGAGCTAAATACTGTGACATTTGCTCCCTTTACTGCATAATTAGATACAGACCAGTTCCGGAGGATATCCTTCTTCGAGCGTTTGAGGTATGTAAGCTCCAGATTTTATATGTATTTATGTGAAAAATGCATCATATAGAATGTATTCGCCAAACCAAACATACAATATCCGCCTTTTCTTTTAGGTATTAGATCCATCTAAACGTGGGTTTCTTTTGAAGGAAGAACTGATCAAATATATGACTGAAGAAGGTAAGAGTGATGTATTACTTCTTTTTAAACTGTGAATTATTTAAGTGATTAATAATTTAACAACAGTCATGGAAAAATTCTAGGGGATGCTTTCATTATTAAAAATTTTTTAATGTTTATTTTTGAGAGAGAGAGAGAGAGAGAATGTGTGAGCAGGGGAGGGGCAGAGAGAGAGGGAGACCCAAAACCCGAAGCAGGCTCCAAGCTCCGAGCTGTCAGCACAGAGCCCGACGCGGGGCTCGAACCCATGAACCGCGAGATCACGACCTGAGCCAAAGTCGGATGCTCAACTGACTGAGTCATCCAGGCGCCCCTAGGAGATGCTTTTAAATCAATCATTCTGGTTCAAAGAGTTATTGACCACCGTTATTTTGGTTTGGGAACGGGTTCTGTTTTGTGGGGGTAAGAGGACGAAGGGTGGGTTAAGGGGAGAGTGATAGTTGCTGTATAGGATTTTGTAACGTATAATGAAACTTCTACAAATTGAAGGCACTCCATTCGCTTAGAGTATTTTCAGAATAAAAGCTACGCCCTTGGAAAACATGAACTATCAACTATAAATCAGTGCATGTGACTAGATTGAAGATTTGAATTAGGTTATGGTAAAATTCCTTTTCAAAGAGCTTTTCAGTTGATGAACTTACAGATAATACAGACTCAGTTGAATAGAATTCACACGGAAACTTCCAGTTCTTTATGCTGGCGGCGTTCTGTATTTGCTTTGACCTTGACCTACACGTGCCCGGTTACCCATAACACTGTTTTCTTGAGGCACTCTCTCTGCTCAGGCGGATGTGTAAGTTCGTCTTCCTTGGACTTCTGTGGCCTGATGGTCACTCTCCTGAAACCGTGCCCATCTGGGTCACGTCCCTTCCTCCCATATGAGGTTAGGGTTCTGTCTCCTTTGTTCCGTTCGCTGGTTTGCGGGTTGAGTCCCGCATGATGCACAGTTGCCATCACTAGAGACAGAACCAAAAGTGCAAGCGACTGTGAGGACTGGAGACCAAGATTGTCCACCGGCACAGCTGGTTGGGCCACGCTGACCTGACCCACCACGAGGTGAGGCTACGGGCAACGAGGACAAGAATGACTTGGCTGTCACGGCTGCCACCAAGCACTCTTGTGACACTGTAACAAATATCTTCAAAAAGAATTATTTTTAATGCTTATCTATCTTTGAGAGAGAGAGAGACAGAGCACGAGCAGGGGAGAGGCAGGGAGAGAGGCAGACACGGAATCTGAAGCAGGTTCCAGGCCCTGAGTCGTCAGCACAGAGCCCGACTCGGGGCTCAAACTCACAAACCGGGAGATCTGAGCCAAGGTCAGATGCTCAACAGACTGAGCCACCCAGGTGCCCTGCGAGCAACAGTAAAGTCTTATGCGTTATAGCCCC